AAAAGTCATTTCAGTCATTTCAAATAAAACTCATCACTGTGGGGGTTAGCTATCATATTCACATATAACTTTGATCCTCATGAAGTCAGGTAGGCCAGGAGACATGAAACGTGTGTGGTATCTTCGAGTATTGTCAGGCACACAGTCAACAATTTCTCAGGGAAACGCGGAGCAAAACTCGCAAACATTTTCACAATACGGGCAAATTTAAATAAACGGAAGGCGAAACTCAGGTCAATGAAATATTTTCACTTCGGTGGTACACTACTTACTCTTAATCAGTGAGTGGCCTAAAATCGTTTGTGGATAAATTCTTGATCTTCAGTTTGTGAATATCTATCATGACCTCATTATTAACATTGTGTTCTATGTTAAATTTCCTTGAAATTGTCTTCCAAATGTAGGCGTCAGCCATGGCTAGGTAGGCGGCAAGCTTCATGGCTTAGGTGACACGTGTCGATTGTTGTTTAACTAAATGGCAGTCATTGACGCTCAGTTGCTTCTAAAAAACTCTCTTTGTTCCAGCGACGTCGATCTCCTAAATTTATATCATGGTAGAGATTTGTAATGAATTCCAGTGCACTAACCTACAGTAGCATTGTCTATGAAGGTCTGTAACTCAGCCTTTAAATTCCTAATTAAATGCAGTCCTAGTTTGAAGAGGGCGTGTTCCTTACCGAAGTACAGTTATCCATCAACGTGGGAAAGTGGAGGATGACATTTTTACCTTCTATGCAGGGCATAATCTTGGAAGAGATCATGACAGCTTTAACTGTTGGCGAGCAACACGAGTTTGCCAAATACATTGGAAAACCGCATTCAGAAACTAATACCGATTGCAGTATGCTTTCAAATACCCCTTCCGTGTAACATGTTCTGGAAGAGAACACAGCTCAGTACACCCTTGATAACACCATAGTTTATGGAATGTAGGTGCAGATCGAGGATAACCGTGGAGGTACACTTCAGTAGTATAGTGTCAGTAAAATAAGACAGGTCCACTCAATGAAACAGATGAGCAAAATGCAATGAGCCATGACGAATTTTGTGTAGATGCTGAAATCTACCTGGTCCAAGATATTTCATTTGAAGTTTGGAGAAGAATCTTACCATTTTCACACTGACTGTTATCAGAAATGCTTACAGTTAGTCGAGCAACAATGAACTAAACACCTTAAAACTGCCTGAGAATGCACATTAGGTTCGGCATTTACCTTCACATTGGTTTGGAAGAAGAATTCTGATCAAGCTTCATAAGTCGTGTAAATACACAAACCAACCCTTCTGATATGCAGAAATATACAACCTCAGCTCCACCAACATGAAGGCGACACTGACAGCAATTGACTGTTCAAAACGATTTGAAATTAGCGTAAAGCATTTATGTTTCTTGGACGCAAATAAGAAATTCCAGTTAGTAGGACACAAGCGTGAAATCTACCTAGGCAACAACCATAGAAAGTATCTGAATATTTGGCTGCACAAACTGCGACATCAAGACAACTGGAGAACAAGAAGACGACTGCCCACCTATCATTAACATGACTAATTCTCAAAGTCAAATCAAAGGCAGTGAATCACGGCAGGTTGTAATATCCGATGTCATTGAAAGGAAGAAGTTGGAAAGCAACGACTGACTAACACTTTGAAGTAATGAAAACCTGCTTAAACCTTTCACTGCATTATAGATAATGCATAACTGGTACGAAATCTCACTGTATTGTATCAGTTGCATCTATGCATCTATGTGGGGTGTGGTTGATTTTGGGACATCACGTAATGTTCCCTTAATAATTTGGTATATGAGACCTGGAAGAAATGAAGTGGTTTCCAATCTTAGACATACCCCCGCAACAGTGTAAACGTGGAAACAGTTGAATAGCCAGCGAAGTGTCGAAAGAAAGTTAAACCTGATGAAGGAAAGCGTGGAGGGAACTGAAAGAAGATGTGTGGTCACAGAATCACAAGATAATGTTGTGACACCCTGAGCTTTGCCTCGAGTTCCCAGTAGAATTCTTCCCATGTTCTCTCGTTTTATGCAGTAGTTATGCTGACTGAGAGATTAGGTATAATTTCAGTTTACAGTGTACGAGTGTAATGATGTAGGAAGTCATACCATTTGTCACTGCTTCGGATGGAGTGAACTTTGGCGGACCCATGACGTGCATAATTACAACACTATTATCCATAATCAGGATTTGAAGGGATATGCGATGAATATCTGACCCAAGTCTGCGCGAAGTATAACATTCTCTCAAAAAAGCCTCCATCATTCTTATGCCATAATGACTCAATCTCCTGATCGGAAGTGACCTGATCAGTTATCAGATAATCCGTCCACTGGACCTATGGACAGTTGAAGTTGTATACAACCTATTCTTGTCTGTGGTTTAGGGGGTGGGTATCAACTGGTGGGTCAGGGTTTCGAACCTCAATTGTCCTTACACTTTAGCTGTTGCTTCTTACCTACTTCATGTAATTAAATGCGCTTTCTAAAATATCCCAGACTGCATGTCTGAGAATTATCTCAAATCAAAATATAAGCATACTCATTCAACGTCAGTCAGATTTGAAAGAAACAAACACATTCGATTTCATGCAAATTCACCTCATCCAGGATATACACAACAGGTTGGTCCACCACTAGAGAGGATTATTATTAAGGTCTGGTAGCAGGACTGAACTTCACCTCATGTTTATGATAAG